ATATGTACAATCTGTCATTTTGCTATATAGTTTGAAACCTAGTTTTATCATTTTACCCCAAGCAAGACAATAAAGCCACTAGATGCAAGTGGTTACTGAGTGTGAGAGAATATGAGAAAATGAAAACCTTATTAAGGACCAAGAACAATAAAAGAATATTGATTAAAAAGACAGAAGATAATGATTGATATTGCATTTAAATGTTTGAAAATCAATGTTCACTTGGATGCAGGAAGCCAGAAAAGAGTTCCACAAGTAAGAAGTGTGGAAGAAGAAATTGTTAGCATAGAACTTATGGTTACATCTCACCATTTTAACTGTAAAATGATAAGACCTTGCCACCAATCTAGTACTGCACTCAAATTCATAAAGTCTAGGTACCAAAGAGGAAAGTAATATTTATTTTGCAAATACAAAAATGTGGTCCAAGGCCAAAGGGGCGATAGGGGAAAGCTGGTTTTCAATCTATCTTATCTTAAACTTAGCTAGCCATGGTTACTAACTCAAACATAACACAGTATTCCTTATACCAAAACAACACATTCTTACTACAGCCACCATAATACCTCAAGGTCTCTATGATGTCATAACTAGTTCTCATATGTACAATTTATCAGTGGGGGGATGAATAAAAGTAAAAACCCAAAGGAAAGTTTATCTGAACAATTACCAGGAAAATACTTTGTATTTTTCTGAGCTTATGATTATTATTATTATTATTATTACTATTAATATATCTACCATTGCTACTTTTTTCACTAAAATGATTTTAATTGTAACTATTTCAACAAGTATTGATTTTTGCTGTTAATTATGCAATAGTAACTAAAATCCTTACTGTTATTACTCCTACATTCTTATTTTATATGCTGTCTCCCTTCAGAAAATGGGCAGTCATGGGTTTCTACAGTGTCCTATACTTAGTAGCTCTAATCAGTGTTTGTCCCCTAACTAACCTTCTCACTCCATGTTCTGTCATCCATTTATACATGTTTATCGTGTTTTTCTCTGTTCCCCTTGTCTCCCATATGTTTCTGTGAGTGTCAAATTCTTCAAGCCCTTTTACCTCATTATGTGCCCTAGAAGTTTCAAATTCTTCTATGTGCTGCATCCCCTTAGGAGAGAGGCAATCATGACTTTCCACAACTTTCTTTCTCTTGTGGCACTTAGCAGTTTCTCACCCTTTGCCTAGGGCTCCCTTTTCTGCCATCCATTCACACATACTCATCAAACAGTTGGTTCGCAGCCATCCCCTATCTCTCTTGCCCTCAGTACGCCCTGTGAGGGTTAAGTTTTCCAAATCCTCCTCCCTCATTGTGTGTCCAAGGAATTTCAGCTATCTCTTCTTGAGTTTGAGTAGAAACGTTCTGCCTGTTGCCATTTTTAATACATCCTCATTGCTTATTCACTCCATCCATAGAATTCTTAGTATCCTTCTGTAGAACCATATTTCTGTCCAACATTCACTGCTATATAGGAGGATTCAGCATTCTTTTGCTTAGTCATTGCTGTTTCCCTTTGCCCCTCTTGCTTTCAACATGCCCTGTGAGTGTCCAATTCTTCAAGCCCTCTATCCTCATTATCTGTCACAGAAATTTCAACTATTTCTTTCTGACTTTAAGTGTAAGTGTCCTTTTTTTCATTTTCTTTAAAACCTTGTTATGCACATGCCCTGTCTATGGTATTGTCAGCATCCTTCTGTAGAACTATAGTTCTGTTGCTACAAGTCTCTTCTTCATCTGTAAGGAGATACTCCAGTATTTGCTGCCATATAGGAGGACTGATATTACATAACAGTTTAGTATTCTTTTCTTTCTTTGTTTCTGTTGCTATAAGTCTTTGAGATTGTCCAGCATTCACTGCCATATAGGAGGACTGATATTATGTAACAGTTCAGTACATTTTCCTTTGTTTCTGTTGCTTTAAGTCTCTTCTTCATCTGTGAAGAGATTGTCCAGTATTTGCTGCCATATAGGAGAACTGATATTATGTAACAGTTCAGTACTCTTTCCTTTGTTTCTCTTGCTTCAAATCTCTTCTTCATCTTTGAGGAGATTGTCCAGCATTCACTGCCATATAGGAGGATTGATATTACGTAATAATTCAGTACACTTTTCTTTGTTTCTGTTGCTTTAAGTCTCTTCTTCATCTGTGAGGAGATTGTCCAGCATCCACTGATACATAGGAGGACTGATATTATGTGACAGTTCAGTAGTCTTTACTTTGTTTCTGTTGCTTCAAGTCTCTTCATCTGAGAGGAGATTGTCCAGCATTCACTGCCACATGACTGATACTATGTAACAGTTCAGTACTCTTTTCTTTGTTTCTAACAAAATTTTACTGTTGTTTTAAGACTGATTCTGTGTTCTATATTACTATTGCTATTTTGATGACTACAACAGCTACCCCATATACTTATGTATAAATCTATTTCATGTATATAGGTGGTTCTCAACCATATGGGGGTCCATGTGTCATTACTGGGGGTCCACACAAAAAATGGCAAATTGGGTGTCCAAATTAATATTTTAGTGGTCCATAGAGCCAAAATATGGTTGTTACAACTGAGATTTGGAATTTTTATAGTAATATATATCGTATTAAAATACTAAAAATAGAAAAACAACTGTAAAACTAGTAGAAAACGAAATCAAGTGATGTTAGTTAGTATTCCTTTTACTGTACTGAATGTTTTGATTGTAACAAATTTGAAATGGTTTATTATGTGTTATTTAGTCTGAGGATCTATATATCTACTAGTGCACATAAATGTTCCATAGAATTTAGTTGTTAAATACAAGTTTATTTTCATTAAATTAGTTTTACTTCAAAATAAAGCATATATACATTTACTATTTCTATAATACAATTCTTAAACTTATCTATTAGCAAAAAATAAATTATGCTTTTTTTTTTCATTTTTTTTTTTTTTTTTTTTTTTTAATCAAATGGTTATGGAGGTCAACCAAAAAAAATAAAATAAGCTTTTCCTTTCATCAAATGGTTGTGGAGGGCCACCAAAAAAAATCAAGAGTAAAAGTGGTCCATGGATAAAAAAAAAAAAAAAAAAAAGGGTTGATAACCACTTATGTATATTGTGACCCCTGAATGTTTATTGTGAAAAACCTGATATTTTCATATATCTCATGTATAATGCATACCCAGATTCTGAGTAATGCTGGTAGTGCTACAGTAGTCAAATATTGCAGTTCTGGGCACCATCCTGGGCATATTTTATAGCAAATAAATGGTCTTCATTCTTTTTTGTACCCTAAAATGGTAAGAAAACCACTTACTGTAAAGTCGTTGATACGAAAACTTATATACCATACATTTGTTTTTGTTCATGCCTGATAATGGTTGCTCCTTTACCCGAGGGTCTGACTCCTACATCTTCTAAGTTTCTTGTCTTTTATCACTACATAAAGTACAGAACCTCATCAACTATGTATGCCCATTAAAATCAACAAATACCTTTTATATAAATGAAGAATTGATAGATTTTTTTCCTATCTCAAATTTGAATTTATCTTTGTTTTTCAAGTGTTTATTTTGCTCATATATTGTCTTTTCAATGACAACCTTTTTATTAGAATTACCAGTACATAATTCTAAAGGAACTTACCTGTATCGTTAAGGTTAACCCAAAGTAAGGTGAGAATATAGGTCTATCAGGTAGGTTATGGTCATTGGAAATCCATGAATTTTAACCACTCTAGAAAAAATTACCTGTGTATAGTACATCTGGTCACTGAAAATGCAGGATTTTTAACCTTTTCAAAAAACTTACAGGTGTATAGTGCAACCACATATTTTTTGTGTAAAAAAAAAAAAAAAAATGATCATAAAAACACAGTATACTTGAATCCATAAAGTATTATATTCCAACTGTTATTCTTACCAATAACACAGTTATTACTGAGACTGTTACTACTTTTACTGTTAAAGTGAATATTGTTGGTATCACCCTGACGTTTACTATGAATAACACACTACTATATTGAAACTATTGTTGCTGCTGTTAATTCTCAAATCCTGCCAATTCTTTTATAACCAATGTTAAATGAGTTTCTCATAGAAAAACAACTCAAAATGGAAATGTTTTTGTTTTCTAAAATATGGGATCTTATGTATTTTCTTTGAAGCTTGGTCATATTATCTTTAATTGGAAAATAGTGAATGTTTAAATTAATGGGGAAACAAGTTTCGTGTTAGTGACAATGGAAGGACAAAATAAATAAATTCTTTCATTTGAAAGTGAAAATATATCTTTGGTTGCAAATAAAATAAATCAATAAATTCTCCCAAATATTTTTCAAAACACTGTACCTATCTATCTATCTATCTATCTATCTATCTATCTATCTATCTATCTATCTATCTATCACAGTCTTCACATCTATCTATCTACAAGGGTAATTATCTGCACTTTTTCCATAACATATCTTTACACAAGAGCATGGATAATTTTTTACTTTCCCTGGTATCTCTCTATATCTTTTAATATCTCTCTGCCCATCTATCCATAGATAGTTAACCAGCATATGGGCCTGTGGTGCTGAAATGCTGGTTCCTGTACAATCACAATCTAAAAATATTTTCTGGTTTCAAATAGCTCTTAAGTGTTGATAAGCCATAGAAAATGAATCAATGAATCAAAAACAAGCTAGTTAACCATCTCAGCCATTTGATATCTTTATCAATTTAATTATAGTTGTTTGTTTGTCTCTATCTATCTATATTGGCTTATCAAAAATTTGAAAGTTATTTAAAGCCAGAAAATATTTTTAGATTGTAAGAATTTTGGCAGGGTAGATAATATTGATTAGTGTTACAAGTCTTACTAATTAACCCATAGCTAGGGGAATAAGAAGTGGATTGAGGCCCTTTCCTAAGGGTGTTTGCATATAAGTGAATATAGCGAACCCACCTGAAATTGGAACTTGACTCTCCAATTCACATTCTGAGCCATTATCCATTACACCACCCACACATCCAAGCTTACAGCACCTGGTATTACCAAATGGTCACTCATCTAGGTACTAACCAGACTCGATGTTACTTAACTTCAGTGACCATATGGGAACCAATGTTTCAATGCTATATGGCCATAAGCTATATATATATTTGTTTATGTGAAGACAAAAAGAAAACTTTTCTTTCCTAATGCATTTTGTCTTCTGATGGACTTTATCAAGGCAAATGTAAGGATTTTATTTTGTGACAAGTATTTATAAACAAAATAAAAAAATGTTAAAGTTTTAAAAATTTTAAATTTAAGAAACCTCATAAATATTCTTGAGGCTGACTGTGAAAGTCAAGGTAAATTATGGAATGATGCGATTTAATGTCTAATAAACAAAAGTAAGTTAATGTTGTTTTTGTTGTTGAATTTTTATTATATTTAAAATGTATTGATTATTTTGTTTTAATTTGATGAATTGCTTATATATTTATTTATTTTAAATAATAGAAGAATGTTTTGAATTTTACTCTTTTTTTAATTTCAAAAATTTTTATGGTCATGTAAGTTGGCTTGGGAAAATGAGCATTTCTTTCAGGAAAAGAGATATTTTTAAAAATCTGGGGCACAGATTTACATTTTAGTAAGATTCAATAGCTACACTCTCAAGAATTTTGTAAGTTTTCTTTAGATCAAAATTATATATATATATATATATATATATATATATGAAAATTTCTCCGATTTAATTGGTAGAGAAGACAATATTTATGAATAAAAATGACAATAGGAAAACTGGTAATTGCTGACACGTTTCGTCCAATGTGGACTTTATCAAAGCAAAATACGAAAATTAAATTAAATGAACAAAGTAACTAATAAAAACAAAAACAGAATGTACCTAGCAACTGGAATGTAGAGAAACGCTATTTTCATATTTTTTAACTGAAAAATAACATCAGTGATTGTCATGTGTGGAGAATATTGTCATTATATCTGTGTTGATGTATTCAACCATTTTCTTTCGATTTTATGAATCTGTTGTGCATATTTGTTTGTAAGAGCATTAATTTTGTTAAGAAAGGTGAAATAGGGAAAAAGCCTGGGCGTAAATTAATATTTGGGTAATTTTCTATGGCGGCACTCTCCAGAATTTTCCTTCTAAGTGAGTTATTTTCTTTTTTTATGAGTGTAGCATTTTTAAAATCAAAATTATGGTTGTATTTATTTCTATGTATGACTATTGCATTAGCTAAGTTATTTTTTTGTGAGGTCTCTTTTGTGCTCATAAATGCATTTTTTCAAACTTGTTTCTCCAATATATTGGGAGGAACAGTTTTGGCAATTTATTTTATAAATGCCTGCTTCAGAAATATTAGTGCTATTATTGTTTGAAGATCTTAGTATATCTATAATGGTTTTGGAAGTGTTTGTGACTATTTCAAGATTATTTAGATTGGATAGGTTATTCTGGATCGTGGACGTGGCAGATAGTTAAGGAACTGAAACCAATCAATGGACACTTGATAATGACTAGAGAATACTAAATCAAAACATTGTGTCTGTAATAACATCTGTATCACTTAAAGTTTTTATTTCTTTTTTTTTTTTTTCAGCCATGCTCACTCTGTACAAGGCCCAAGGGCCACTCAAGGTAAAAGGTTACAGAATAGAACAGCTCATGTGGATATGTGGGGAAGATAATGATTAACCCTAGACATGAACATGTTAAGATTGTAATGATTAGGGAAGCATCCTCTTGGGAGTGGGTTTCACAAGGCAGTGGGAAGAAGCTGCTTGAGAGAAACTTACATCTCACTAATGAAATATGAAATGACTGGGAGTAGTTCGTTATAATGTGCATGACATGAGCTATAATCTCCAGCTATTCAAGTGTAATGTAAATCGACATCTCCAGTTAACTTGATCTGTCCACTACCCTTCTCGTACCCTCTTCTATCACTCCTATCTGATCTCGCTCTATAATCTACATCTCCAGTTAACTTGATCTGTCCACTACCCTTCTCCTCGTACTCTCTTCTATCACTCCTATCTGATCTCGCTCTATAATCGACATCTCCAGTTAACTTGATCTGTCCACTACCCTTCTCCTCGTACTCTCTTCTATCACTCCTATCTGATCTCGCTCTATAATCGACATCTCCAGTTAACTTGATCTGTCCACTACCCTTCTCCTCGTACTCTCTTCTATCACTCCTATCTGATCTCGCTCTATAATCGACATCTCCAGTTAACTTGATCTGTCCACTACCCTTCTCCTCGTACTCTCTTCTATCACTCCTATCTGATCTCGCTCTATAATCGACATCTCCAGTTAACTTGATCTGTCCATTACCCTTCTCCTCGTACTCTCTTCTATCACTCCTATCTGATCTCGTTCTATAATCGACATCTCCAGTTAACTTGATCTATCCACTACCCTTCTCCTCATACCCTCTTCTATCACTCCTATCTGATCTCGCTCTATAATCTACATCTCCAGTTAACTTGATCTGTCCACTACCCTTCTCCTTGTACTTTCTTCTATCACTCCTATCTGATCTCGCTCTATAATCTACATCTCCAGTTAACTTGATCTGTCCACTACCCTTCTCCTCGTACTCTCTTCTATCATCACCCTATCTGATTTCGCTCTATAATCGACATCTCCAGTTAACTTGATCTGTCCACTACCCTTCTCCTCGTACTCTCTTCTATCACTCCTATCTGATCTCGCTCTATAATCGACATCTCCAGTTAACTTGATCTGTCCACTACCCTTCTCCTCGTACTCTCTTCTATCACTCCTATCTGATCTCGCTCTATAATCGACATCTCCAGTTAACTTGATCTGTCCACTACCCTTCTCCTCATACTCTCTTCTATCAATCCTATCTGATCTCGCTCTATAATCGACATCTCCAGTTAACTTGATCTATCCACTACCCTTCTCCTCATACTCTCTTCTATCACTCCTATCTGATCTCGCTCTATAATCTACATCTCCAGTTAACTTGATCTGTCCACTACCCTTCTCCTCGTACTCTCTTCTATCACTCCTATCTGATCTCGCTCTATAATCGACATCTCCAGTTAACTTGATCTATCCACTACCCTTCTCCTCGTACTCTCTTCTATCACTCCTATCTGATCTCGCTCTATAATCGACATCTCCAGTTAACTTGATCTGTCCACTACCCTTCTCCTCGTACTCTCTTCTATCACTCCTATCTGATCTCGCTCTATAATCGACATCTCCAGTTAACTTGATCTGTCCACTACCCTTCTCGTACTCTCTTCTATCACTCCCATTCTGATCTCGCTCTATAATCTACATCTCCAGTTAACTTGATCTGTCCACTACCCTTCTCCTCGTACTCTCTTCTATCACTCCTATCTGATCTCGCTCTATAATCGACATCTCCAGTTAACTTGATCTGTCCACTACCCTTCTCCTCGTACTCTCTTCTATCACTCCTATCTGATCTCGGTCTATAATCGACATCTCCAGTTAACTTGATCTGTCCACTACCCTTCTCCTCGTACTCTCTTCTATCACTCCTATCTGATCTCGCTCTATAATCGACATCTCCAGTTAACTTGATCTATCCACTACCCTTCTCCTCGTACTCTCTTCTATCACTCCTATCTGATCTCGCTCTATAATCGACATCTACAGTTAACTTGATCTGTCCACTACCCTTCTCCTCGTACTCTCTTCTATCACTCCTATCTGATCTCAACTCTATAATCGACATCTCCTGTTAACTTGATCTGTCCACTACCCTTCTCCTCGTACTCTCTTCTATCACTCCTATCTGATCTCGCTCTATAATCGACATCTCCAGTTAACTTGATCTGTCCACTACCCTTCTCCTCGTATCACTCTCTTCTATCACTCCTATCTGATCTCGCTCTATAATCGACATCTCCAGTTAACTTGATCTGTCCACTACCCGTCTCGTACTCTCTTCTATCACTCCTATCTGATCTCGCTCTATAATCGACATCTCCAGTTAACTTGATCTGTCCACTACCCTTCTCCTCGTTTCTCTTCTATCACTCCTATCTGATCTCGCTCTATAATCAACATCTCCAGTTAACTTGATCTATCCACTACCCTTCTCCTCGTACTCTCTTCTATCACTCCTATCTGATCTCGCTCTATAATCGACATCTCCAGTTAACTTGATCTGTCCACTACCCTTCTCCTCGCATCTCTCTTCTATCACTCCTATCTGATCTCGCTCTATAATCTACATCTCCAGTTAACTTGATCTGTCCACTACCCTTCTCCTCGTACTCTCTTCTATCACTCCTATCTGATCTCGCTCTATAATCGACATCTCCAGTTAACTTGATCTGTCCACTACCCTTCTCGTACTCTCTTCTATCACTCCTATCTGATCTCGCTCTATAATCTACATCTCCAGTTAACTTGATCTGTCCACTACCCTTCTCCTCGTACTCCTCTTCTATCACCCTATCTGATCTCGCTCTATAATCGACATCTCCAGTTAACTTGATCTGTCCACTACCCTTCTCCTCGTACTCTCTTCTATCACTCCTATCTGATCTCGCTCTATAATCGACATCTCCAGTTAACTTGATCTGTCCACTACCCTTCTCCTCGTACTCTCTTCTATCACTCCTATCTGATCTCGCTTCTATAATCGACATCTCCAGTTAACTTGATCTGTCCACTACCCTTCTCCTCGTACTCTCTTCTATCACTCCTATCTGATCTCGCTCTATAATCGACATCTCCAGTTAACTTGATCTGTCCACTACCCGTCTCGTACTCTCTTCTATCACTCCTATCTGATCTCGCTCTATAATCGACATCTCCAGTTAACTTGATCTGTCCACTACCCTTCTCCTCGTACTCTCTTCTATCACTCCTATCTGATCTCGCTCTATAATCAACATCTCCAGTTAACTTGATCTATCCACTACCCTTCTCCTCGTACTCTCTTCTATCACTCTTATCTGATCTCGCTCTATAATCGACATCTCCAGTTAACTTGATCTGTCCACTACCCTTCTCCTCGTACTCTCTTCTATCACTCCTATCTGATCTCGCTCTATAATCTACATCTCCAGTTAACTTGATCTGTCCACTACCCTTCTCTCTCCTCGTATTCTCTTCT